CTGAGCTGTTTGTGCCGCCGCTGCTGCCATAGCCATTTGATGCTGCAAGAATTGCAACTGCAGCTGCCTGGGGCTGCATGAAGCTCCCTACTCCGCTAAGGTTGATAGCAGCAGCTTGCTGAGCAGATAAGGCCTATTCTTGACTGGCTTAACCTTGTTCAGGACCCCCCCCCCCCCCCCGGTTGCGGCTGCGCGTGACTGGAAGCGGTGGTCTGCGGAGTGAACGGAGAGCTGCTGCTGCTGCTGCAGAGGGTTAAAGATGAGTGAGCCGCTGGAGAGCTGGGGTAGATTTAATGGCCTGAGACTTGACGTATGTTTTTTTTTAAACCAAACGGAACACCTGCTTGCGAAGTTGGCAGAGCACCTGGCAGTGCACTGGGCAGCAGACCTGTTGAGGGAAGAAGGCCACTCAGATTTATTTCTGCAGGAGTTACGGTACCAGTGTTACATACAGCCCAGCGTGGAGTTTGAACCACTCATCAAAGCCTGGGCTCCACAAACAGAACCCACTACATTGATGAAGTTAAGGCCAGCGGAATTTGCCATGACTTGGGTAGCGGAGGTTCCTGGAGTTATAGATGTTACCATGGTGGAAAGAGGAATGGTCGTTACAGGCATCACCTGGCTCAGAGACCTTTGCTGCTGAGCCAACTGAGTTAACAAACTGGGCTGAGGGGTGAAGCCTGAATATTGGGGAGTAGGGGTGGCAGTAGGGATAAAGTAGTTGAGTTCTGAGCATCAGGAGGGTGTGGGGTCGATGAAGAGGTTGGTGTAGGAGTAGATGATTTAGGAGTTCCAGATCTTTGTGATGAGCTAGCAGGTGACAAGGCAGCTGGAGAAAGCATGCTAACTAGGCTGAGGTCCACGACTTCCGAGACAGACTCGGGAGCTTAGAAGCAGGAGGCGGCGTTGGAGACTTGAGAAAGCTGCTTGCTTGTTGTGGGGTGAAATAATTACCTGAGGAATTAGTTCCTGAGCTTGAGGGAAGTTTGATGGGTGGAGGCTGATGCTTCACTCCCTTCCCTAACACTGATGACTGAACGGACACAGTCTTAGATTCTGATTCTTTTCCTGGAGAATTCTGACTCAGTGGCTGAGCCACTGGACGTGTGTGACATTTTAACTGGACATTTGGCTTCATTCTGGACCAATTCCTGGTACTGATTGACTATTCTCTGAGCATCAGTCTTTGATCCAATAATGAACCAATTTGAATGATCATCTGTAGAGGAGTGGGATGAAGACATCTGGCTATTGCCTTCCTCATCACCTTTACATGGCTATATTTTACCATAGTACAGTGGATCACCAAGTGACTGCATAATGGTCAATTTTGTTTTCTGATACTGATTACCACCTTCACATTCAAATACATATTCCTCTTTTACATCATGGGCTAGCCATATTGTTGGTTTTGAGTCATCAGATTTGATAGATTTTTCCACTTTAGCATATTTTTCTACATCTACTTCAGAGGGTAGAGCCAAATTACAGGTGTTCCGTTTCCACATATCTACACAATTTCCTGCTTTGGAGATTTTGAGGTCATAATGCTGACCTGCTTTTTCTTTCTTTTCTTTTTTGTAAGAAATCAAGTCATCTTGACTGAGGAGGAGGTGAACAGTGAGGTCCTGCTGCCGATTCAGAGAGGATCTAGAATACTTCTTGAAACACCGTTTCATTGCCCACGTGTTCATCTTCTGCTTGCTATAAAACAGTCTGTAGGCAGGATACAGACACAGAATGGTTAAGACACAGTGGTTCAGCCGTTGCCAAGACCAGCTGGCTCTCAAGTAAAAGTTTGTCTTCCTGGGTCCATTTTATGGTTATCACTTGTTATTGAATGTACATCACAGATTAAAGTCTGCATTGTCGGGCGTAAAAGAATATGTCTATTTTGGTAAACAGGAGACTTCATGTTACCAGACTGCCTGTAGACACATGTTTCTGCTATGACACATCCACAGTGGAAAATATTAACCTGAGATTTTTCCAGGAGATCAACCAAAATAGGAGGTAATTCTTCTGCATCCAAATACTCAAGCAATTCCCCTTCTTCGTGAGGCAATCGAATGGTCTCAGAATCTGATCCATTTTTCCCCCTGAGCATCAGAGAATATCCCTCATTTCCTGGGTATAGGTTGACCACAAAACATGACAACGTCTCTTGCATAACAAGCTTTTCTAACAAGTTCACATTTCTTCTTAATGTCTTAACCTCTGGCTCTTTCTTACATTCTTCAGTATATAAATCATAAAGTTTCTGAAATATAGATTTCCTTCCACCAGGTAAGTATTTCCTTTTAGGAGGTCTCTGTCGGGCACTTTCAATAATATACTCTGCACGATCCAAAGCTAGTTCTAAAGTTTGTTGCATTGTGGTGTAAAATAGAAAAAGTTTATGGGCGTTGATGAAGTGAGGTGAAAATCATGTTTTTAATATCAATCTTAAAGTACTGTGCAGCCCGCCGCTGCGCTGGGCCTCATGACGGCGCCGCTGGCTCGCTCCCTGCCCCCTAGCCGCAAGTATTTTGCATTAATTAAGTGCTACTAATAGCACCATTTTTATGGAGAAAGAAGCTAGATCGAGGAAAAACTAAGACAACTGAACTTGGAACTCAGAAGAGACCTACTTTGAGATCAGAATGATAAGGAAAAACAGCTAATCATCTTGTCTCTAGTACTGGGTGGGTTTTGAATAGACTAGTAATATTTTTGTTTCCTGACACTTGTGGTTCACAGTGGAGCCCTAATAGTGGTGGCAAAGTGGTTAAATTGCTTGAAAGCGAACCATTCGGTTAGCAGTTCAAATACACCAGCAGCTTGCTTCTAGAAGGATTTACAGCCATAGAAACCCCTACAGGATGGTTCTAAGCATTACAGTTCTACTTGGCTCTGAATGGAATTGACTTGATTGCAATGAGTTTTGAGTTGGTATTTCTCAAATTTTTGTATATTATTATATGAAGGGCAATTAAAGCACAGGTTGCTGAGTCGACGGCCAGAATTTCTGATCCAGTAGGTGAAGTATTGCATTTCTAACTAGTTTCCAAGTAATGTTGCTGGTATGGGACCATACTTTGAAAACTACTGTGTTAACAAGCTATTTCACAACTCTCTGCGCCTGGTGGGCAGGGGGGAAGTCCAGTGCCTTCTCCCTTATGCAGATAAATTTACTTCCTATTTTCACAGAGAAAAACAGAGCAATTGAAACAGTCATTCTACATCTGCAGTCAGCTTTCTGTATCAGCAGACTTTTTCTACTGTAAGAAGAACTATGGTGTTGAGAGAGAAACCTGCTGGCAGAATCTTTTTCATTTTTTATTGAGATTTTAATGAAAGTTTAGAGAACTTGGATTTCCATTCATTCATATATGGAGTCATTATATAGAAAGGAATTGGCAGATACAGAGGAATTTAAAGAAATAACATATGAGCAAGAGC